CATCAATAATAACACCCAAAAACTTTACCTCACTGACTCTATTTATCTCTACACCATCAACTCAGAATGGAATGTTAACAGCTCTTTGTCTCTTTGTAAATATCATATAACTAGTTTTATCCATGTTTAATGATAATTTGTTTAGTTTAAACCAGTTTTGTATTTTCACAAATTCTGTTTGGATTTTCTCTAACATTCATTCTGTCTTTACCCAAACAAAAAAATGTGGTATCATCTGCAAATAAAACACATTTAAATAATCCTGACACATTAACCAAGTCATTCACATACAGGATGAAAAACTTTGGTCCAAGTATAGAACCCTGAGGAACTCCACATGTGATTTCACACAGTTCAGATCTTACATCATGTACTTGTACAAACTGTTTCCTATTTTCCAAATAACTAGATAACCATTGTAATGCTGGTCCTCAAATCCCAGTTTCAAGTAGAATGCTGTGGTCAGTCGTGTCGAATGCTTTCTTTAAATCTACATAAATACTGGAGCAATATTGTTTTTGATCAATGACATTAGTTATTTGTTCTATCAGCTCAGTAACTCAGTTGTTTTTAGAGATRTTGAGCTCCAGTCCTGAGTCTGACCCAGAGTCCACAGAACCCAGCTGTTTGTGTTGGACCCACCTGGCTGCTTCATATTGTTTGGCGCTGACCATGGTGTCCTCGATGGTTTTGTTCACCAGGGTGTTCATGTCGGAGGTGAAGGAGTTGATKGCCGTCGTCAGCGTGTCTCCGCTCTTCGACAGAAACTTCTGAGCCTCGGCGTTCAGGCTGAACTCCACCTGTTCGCGACACAAACGCTCGTCAGTTCTTCTTCGAGAAGTCCGTTTAAATCACGACGGACCAGGACTCACGTGGAGCTTCTGGGATTTGACACTCAGCTCGGTGAAGACGTCACCCAGAGACTTCTGGGTGACGGCGAACTGAGCCAGCTGATTGGACAGCGTCTGAGCCAGCTTGGTCATGTGATCGTAGCGCTGACGGTCGTCCCGGAGCAGCTCCAGACGAGGCTCCAGGTCCAGGTCCACCGTCCTGGAGCCGCGGCCGAGCCTCTCCGCCAGCGCCTGCCGGGTGCACTGAGGAGAAACCAGACAGGTGTTCACGAGTCAGACAGGTGTTCACAGGTCAGACAGATGTTCACGAGTCAGACAGGTGTTCACAGGTCAGACAGATGTTCACGAGTCAGACAGGTGTTCACAGGTCAGACAGATGTTCACGAGTCAGACAGATGTTCACGAGTCAGACAGATGTTCACGAGTCAGACAGATGTTCACAGGTCAGACAGGTGTTCACAGGTCAGACAGATGTTCACGAGTCAGACAGATGTTCACAGGTCAGACAGATGTTCACGAGTCAGACAGGTGTTCACAGGTCAGACAGATGTTCACAGGTCAGACAGATGTTCACAGGTCAGACAGATGTTCACAGGTCAGACAGATGTTCACAGGTCAGACAGATGTTCACGAGTCAGACAGGTGTTCACAGGTCAGACAGATGTTCACGAGTCAGACAGGTGTTCTCAGGTCAGACAGATGTTCACAGGTCAGACAGATGTTCACAGGTCAGACAGATGTTCACAGGTCAGACGGATGTTCACGAGTCAGACAGGTGTTCACAGGTCAGACAGGTGTTCACAGGTCAGACAGGTGTTCACAGGTCAGACAGGTGTTCACAGGTCAGACAGATGTTCACGAGTCAGACAGGTGTTCACAGGTCAGACAGATGTTTAACTGATGGTCTCTGATCATCAGGCAGCTCAGTCAGGCTCCGCCCACCTTGTATTTGCTCACACTCCACTTGCGGACCCTCTCCAGCTTCTCGCTGGCCGGGTTTTTGTTGCCGCCTTCGACGACGACAGTTCCACCTTTTGGTGTCTGCAGCGTCACTGCGGGATCTGCAGGTCAAAGATCAACATTTTCTTAATTTAAACTTAAATAAAAAGTGTCAATTATTATTTTAATTAACACTGGAAACCTGCAGACATCAACTAAAACCCCTGATCTGGTTCYCACAGAACAACTGAGTAATTAAAGGGACAGTTCAGCCATTTCAAGTGTKTTTCTGTGTAAAAGTTACAAACCATAAATATCTTACCTGCTGCAGATAGTTTTAGCAACCTGAGTTTCTGAATCACAAAACAATAAACAGAARTAAACTGTAAACTTTAACAGACGAGGTAAAAGTTCTGTTTGAACATCACCTTGGTTCTGGTTTGTTTCCATGGCGACCGGCGACCCGGCCTCAGTGGTGTGGTTGCAGTCGCTGTCTGTTTCCTGTAAAGAGAAGTGTTGTGAGTAAATAAATCATCTCCATGGTCCCGTGGTTCTGTCGCTGCTTCAGGTCCCGGAAGGATGAAAAAAAGAACAGAAACTGAGGGTGAAATGACCGACGCAGCCCGGKTAGACCTGCTGAACGGAAGAAAACCAGGTCCAGATGTTGAATCCTGAGTCCCTCAGATTTCTGTTTTTTTTTCTTAAGGTTTTCTTTTAAAATGAGCAACAAATGATCAAACTTGTTACAAAGAACCAATATTTTCCTGTTTTTGTGTTTGAATAAACAAATATAAAAAAAACAACCAAGTTCAACAAACAGGAAGTGGGATTTTAGCTCCGCTAAAGAGCTGTGAGATGAAAACTCATATTTCCAGCTGCTCCTGAACGCACCATGAGCCAAACAGTACACAGGTGAGGGATCGCACTGACAGGTGGAAACCGAGCAGCCAATCAGAACCCAGACTACAGAGCTGAGGGGTCGCTATGGTAAACAAAGCTCAGTGTTGTTTTTAGTGGTGTGATCAGAGGTCACTGCAAACAGGAAGTAAATGATACGTTTGTGTTTGACCTTTCCAACTCYGTCTCTGTGGTGATCCTAAAGGACTGATTCTGTTTTTGTGACTCAGTTAAAAAGATTTCATAAACCCTGGACTGATGTTAGTGAAACTGTTCAGAGGTAAACATCAGACAAATGCCTAGAACCAAGATGGCCGCCGCAGCTGATCGTATGTCTGCATCGCGTCGTCTCACCGTGGGAGGACTTTCCTCCTCCGTCCTGTTGGGCGAAGACACGTCTCCTTTCTGCTGAGACTCCTCCATTGTTTATTCACCGTCTGAAAAGAAGAAAAGAAAACCTTAAATTAATGATTAGTTTAAAATANTGCCTACAACCACCACAACTCCACCCACCACCACCTTAAGTCTGCCCTCCACCACAACTCTGCCTACAACCACCACAACTCCACCCACCACCACCACAACTATACCCACCACCACCACAACACCACTCACCACCAACACTCCACCCACCACCACAACAACTCTGCCTACAACCACCACAACTCTGCCTACAACCACCACAACAGTTATTCAACAGAAGTTTGGTGATTCCAGACAATTCAACCTCAGCTCCTGTCCCATCATGTATTTTGGACAGACATATAACCAAATCTATGTGAGTTCATGAATCTTTTTGTTTGTTACTTCTGCCAAGCAGGTTATGTTTTTGGTCACGCATGTCTGTCTATCTGTCTGTTGACAAAATTAATCAACAACTAATGGATGGATTTTCATGAAATTTTTACCACAGGTTGRTATYGGCCAAAGGAAAGCATCATTAAATTTTGGTGATGATCCGAATCCAGGAATGTTTTTGAAGAATTCGTCACTATTGCAGGATAGGGGAAAATGGCCTTGGCTGCGGTTTGCACTCTCAGAGTGCTTCTAGTTTCACTCTGTAATTGTTTTTACTGAAACAGTGTGAAAGCTGAAGGTGAAGCAGCATGACCGCCCCCTGTAGGCTGGCTGCAGTACATGTTTAGATCTCTGTAAATTCAAGTAAAAACACACTCAGATCGTGAGTGTTGTTTGTGTTTAATCTTTAAAAACTAATTTAAATGGTGAAGAGCACTGAAACCTTTAAACCTACACATGTACAGTTCAGCCAGTGCGTTTCTTCAGTTTGCTCAAATACTTTTTGTTATTAAATTTTTTTAACATAGACATTTATGACGGTGAAACAAATATATCTTAAAAAGATGAACATGATGAAAGATTGTTCACTCTTACAGGTTACAATTTATCTGGTGAACTTCGGGACACAAGCAGCTGTGGTTTTATATTCCAGTGTTGGAGGAACAAAAGTAAGTTTGTGCTGTTGGATCATTTATGAGTAATTATATTTGGTATATAATAAAGTTAGTCATATTAAATAATTTTTTCAATAATAAAAGATAGGAAAAAACTGAACAGGTTGAAAAATATGACTCAAACAACTTTAAAGATACCTTTGCAGCAACAGTAGAGACTAAATTCATCTTGTCTGCCTCCTATAGACTCCAAGTCCACAACAAAATGTATTTAACAGATAAAAAGAGAATTTCGCAGGATGTGTCCCTTTAAATCTAATTACATGTGATGTCAGTGGTCTCTGGTTGTAACACCATTTGTTGTTTTGTAGCTGACCGATATTTTTGCAAATGGAATCCTACGCCACACACTGAATGTTACAAACATTCAGACTACAGGACAACTTTATGACTTTGTCGACGTCAGCAGCTACACACATGAAGGTTGGCATTTCTATGAATGAAAACATAAACTTTTAGATTTTTTAAAACTAATATTTCAGTGGTTCTGTTTGTTTTGTTTACAGAAGATAAATACTGAGAAATCTGTGACTTTGYAAACTAACTCAGACCTTCAGTCATTTCTCAGATCTTATGTTTGGAACACATTTTTCCCCCTCATCTTCCCTTGTGTGGTTTTTAGTTTTTCTTTTAAGGGTTGCGCCTCCTGATGATGATCCTTGTTCTGTGCAGGGTCTGTGGCAGCATGACCCAGAGCACCTGTTCTCCCATGTTTGTTATGTTCTGTCTTCTTGTGAATGGGTGTTCTGAACTGTAATTTCTTTGTGCTCTGTACAATGACAATAAAGGTTTATCTTATCTTATCTTATCTTATCTTATCTTATCTTATCTTATCTTATCTTATCTTATCTTATCTTATCTTATCCAGTTTGGTCTTAATATGTCAGGAGATTTTAGATTTTCAAGAAAATTTAAACTGGTCAAAGTGATTAAAGCATTTCCATTGCTGTTTTTCCTTTATGGTATAGCTAATCAACACTGATCCACAATAAAAACACAGTAAACTGTAAATTTAAATTGACCTAATCACATTTTTTCATTAATTAAATNATGTTCTGATCATTTTAGCTTTTAAAACTTTTCTAAAATCTTTAGTCTGTTGTTTTGTGAAACGAAGCCATTAGCATCTGTTTAGCTTGATTTAGCTTTGTTTTGCAACAAATAGCTTGTAGTTACTATTTTTGCTGGTTTTTAGCTTTAAGCTACTGTTTATTTTTACTTCTTTAAATTAAATTGTTTATAGATTTTGTTTTGCTCATTTTAGCTACTGTTTTGTTGGTTTTCCTGTTTAACTCCTTTTATGCTGGTTTAGCTTTTAGCTACAGTTAAGTTCATTTTATCTTTTAGCTACCATTCAGCTGATTTTAGCTTTGTAGCTACTGCTTTGCTGGTTGTGATTTTTAGAAATTGATTTTCTATAGTTAGCTTGATGACTTTAGCTTTTAGCTACTGTTTTGCTTGCTTTAGTTTTGCTTTTTAAAATGTAGCAACTCTTGTTTATCTTAGCTTTTGCATTGTTTTGTTCATTTTAGCTGCTGTACTGTTCTTTATTAAATGTTACCAGTGTTTGTTGGTTTTAGCTACTGATCTGATCCTTTTAGCCTTTAAAGAAATGTTTTGCAGGTTTTAGCATGTAGCTAATTTTATGCAAGTCTTAACATGTATCTGTTTGTCTACTTTTATATTTTAGCCACTGTTATGTTAAGTTTAACATTTAGCTTCTGTTTCATGTTTAGCTTTTATTTTCTTTTTTATAGAATTAGTTTGTAGCTTTTGCTATGCTAACATCAACTTTTAACTTTATTTAGCTAAATTTAGCTTTTAGCTTCTGCTTCTTTTAGCTTTGACAGCTCAGTTTCAGCTTCTTTCTAGCTGTATTTTAGCTGTTAATGTTAATTTGTCTGGTTTCCTCTGAGCTCCAACGTGTCGTCCTAAACTAACAGCACAATGTGATAAAAGTTGACCTTTGACAGATTCTGTAAGTCAGAGTTTGACCTGATGGATCAAACCTACAGATGTTTTCAGTCGAAATGATAAACTTTGTTTTAAAAGTGAAGATATGAACAAACATGAACACAGAAGTAAAAAACACAGATAAAATCTGAACTTCTGTCTAAAACGAGGAAGAAGACGAGACTTCCTGACAGATAAAGTTAAACATCATCACTGTGACTTCACAGGTTTTAATATTTAAATAAATGCAGGTGAGTTTTTATAAATTAATTAATTAATTAAACACATTTGATTAAAAACTGTAACTAAAACTATTAAATCAGATAAATCCCAATACTTTGTGTTGAAAGTTTATTTTACTTTATTTACATCATTTAAATATTGTTGCCACAAACAGGCGGTTAACGTGTCTGTTAGCAAAATAACTGGNTTTTCTTCCTCAGCTCCTCTGAATCCTGAAGGTTTCAAAGCTTCAGACCAAAATGAGAGCAGCATCACTCTGCAGTGGAATAAAGTCAACAACAACGTCAGCTTTGTTCTGCAGTTTAACAACTCGGACACAAACATCAGTTCACCAGATGGAGCCGAAGCAGTAACTCACACAGTCTCACGTCTCACTGCTGGGACCAAATATACCTTCACTCTCTTCTCTGTGTTTGAGGACGTCAGGAGCAGTGGAGTCAGCCTCACTGCTGTCACTGGTGACATGTTCTACTCAGTATAATAACAGATTCATTGATTTCAATTGAGAAAATGTTTGTAAGATTTAATATCTAATGATTAATAGTGATGTTAGCATTATTGCTAACATGGGCTAATGTTCAAAGCAGTAACAGACTTTATGGTTCTCACTGTTTAAACCCAACTCGCTGCATGGGCATGTCTGAGAGAGAGGCTTTAAAACCAGAACACCAGATCTGTGACAAAAGTATGAAAACCGAGAGCGTTTTCCACAGATACATTTTTCACATGGTTTTCTCAACATAAGTAGTTATTTATCTTTTCTTGAAAGATCATAATCAGTTTCTCAGTGTTCCTAAAATCTTGCCAAGCATGAACTCAAGCTGAAAACGTCACGTTGTGGAGAACCTGGCATTGATCAAAACATTGATATTATTTTAAGAAAACCATCGGTCACATAAGTCATTATATCATGAAAATCATTGGGACATTATTTCTTTATCTTAAAAAAACATGAAGAAATTAACTTGTTAACTCAAAATAAAATTAAGAAATTAACTCATTATCTTAAGAAAACCATTGGTAAATTAACTTTATCTGGAGAAAACCATTGAAGATGAACACGTTGTCTTGAAAAAGAACCATCAGTAAATCAAGAAAACCACTGCGAAATTAACTCGTTATCATGAGAAAATAATCATCGTTTCCTCATTATCACATGAAAACCACGTGGAAAAGTTGTATGTGGAAAACGTCCGCTCTTGTCTTCCATATGTCAACTTGTACAGTTTTAACCAATAGGAAAATTCAACTGCAGTAGCCACTGTTCAACCCATAGAGGGCAGCACTAAGATGGTTTTTAGGCCAAATTTTGCAGAATTAAACAACTTTACACGAAAATGTCAATCGCTAAGTATAAAGATAACCTTAAAAACCAATTTAGACAGTTTATCTGCAGAAAAAGTTGTTTTTGGGTTTAGTTACTCTTTTAAGCTTTTCTAAAACATTTAAACTGTTCAGAGCATCTAAAGTGTTACTACTGCTGTTTGTCCTTTATGGTCTTATAGCTAACCACCACTAAACAACAATAAGAACACAGTAAACTGTAAATTTAAATTGACCTAATCACATTTTTTCATTAATTAAATAAAGCTGATCTCTGTTTTTCTTCCTCAGCTCCTCTGAATCCTGAAGGTTTCAAAGCTTCAGACCAAAATGAGAGCAGCATCACTCTGCAGTGGAATGAAGTGAACAACAACGTCAGCTTTGTTCTGCAGTTTAACAACTCAGACACAAACATCAGTTCACCAGATGGAGCCGAAGCAGTAACTCACACAGTCTCACGTCTCACTGCTGGGACCAAATATACCTTCTCTCTCTTCTCTGTGTTTGAGGACGTCAGGAGCAGTGGAGTCAGCCTCACTGCAGTTACAGGTACCGTGTCTCACTTCTGTAAAGTTACTTTAAGATATTAGAACTATTTTTACATGCATTGAAAAAACAGATTGACTGTTTTCCTGAAGCTCACTTTGGGCAACACTTGAAACATTATTTTATTTTTGGTTGTATGTAATAAAATGTTTTTGATTGTATTTTTATGAACTTAATTTCTATAAACTTATTTTCTTGTTGCGGTAAAGTTCTCATTTTCTTTTTTATTCATGAATAGTATTGTGGAATTTAAACAGTTTTGGAAAAGCAAAAGACTAAACTAAACAAAAATGTTTTTTATGTCAACACACATCTTCATTCTGCATCTTCTCTGACCTCCAACCAAAGGACCATGTAAGTAAATGTGTGTTTGTGTAAGTGTACATGTTTAATCAAACTGTTTTTGATCTAAAATGTGTTCACATCATCAAAATTAACACCGCCTCATTCATTTCTCAACAGATTATTTAGAGTAAAGCAGAGATTGTTAACCTTTTTGACCTCGGCGCTCAATTTATTGAACATGAAGTGACACGAGGCCCAGTCAGGCCCAGTCAGACATTACCATATGGATCAAAATGATAATTATTCTAAATCTTGGTTTAATTTTTATTGCAGTTACATTATAACTAAATTAAATACACTTACATCTTAAAAGTAAAACTGTCAAATAATCAAAAGACAAGATTATGACAAACATTTTTATGTTGTAACCTGCCCATAACAATTATTTGAACAAATACAAAGGTCAGTCAACAGACCACTCAGGCTTATCGACACATTTGATAAAGTACACATGAAAATGTACTGTAGCCCCTTTTAAACTTTTGCGTGGAAGAAACAGAAGCTGCTGTTCATATTAGTGACAAACAACAGTAACAACAGCTTTTTGACAAGTTTAAATTTTCTTTAAAATACATTAAAAATATTTTAAAATGAACTACAAAAATAATTTGATAAATTGCAAATTAAAATATAGTAATGTTTTGAACTTTGAAAATATTGCATGATAAAAACAGAAGCTGCTCTTCATATTAGTGACAAACTTTGGTGCTTTTTGATGAGTTACTTTCATTTTTGCTTCTATTTTTTCATTTAAAATAAGTTTCCATTCTCGACAGGTTTCTAAGGTTCTTCTTCTACGTATTAAAAAAGTTGTTAAACATCTGAGTGGTGCACTACTGCTACTAGTGGTGAGAAAGTGTATTGCACCTTATTCAAAATCAATACGGTCCCACGGCCCTCTGCGGCCCAAAGTTAAAAACTGTTGTTCTTTTGAGGCCCTCAAGGTGGAGCTCGGCTGCGGCCCACAGGTTAAGAATCTCTGGAGTAAAGCATGAGTTTTATTTATTAAAATGTAAATAGATCCATTAAATTTTCCAAATACACAAAGAACTCTACTTGATACACGAAAAACTTCAAGCTTCCGTGTGACTGACGTTTTGTGCAGCCCTAAAAACATGCCCATCTATATTAAAAAAGCATGATGAATGTTCTTTTAATATTGTTATTTTATATATCCTGATGTTAATATTTTACATTGTGATGTTATTTACAGAAATATGTTGTGTTTTCATCAACAGACTATGTTTTAGTTATGAACCAACAATTCAAGTCTTTGACCAAACTGTCAGAAACGGACATAAAAGACACAATGGCTGAGGTGAGTCAGGTTATTTCTGGAGAATCATGATATGTTCTCTGACTGTTGACAGATTTTATGTTCTGTTATAACAATGTGAATGTTTGTGACTTTTTCCTGCAGCTCTTCAGAAAGTACGGCCTGCCACCAGAGCTCTCTGTGAACGTCCTGTCTGTTAAACCCAGTGTCAGTGGAGGGAAGGGAACTTCTTCTTTGGCTGCAGAGCTGGAGCAGAACCGAGGATAAAGCCTTCAGGACCTGCTGTTAACTCTGAGAAACGTGAGGTCTGTGTTTAACAAGACAGACGAGCAGCTGCTCTGATTCAGAGCCAACATAAACACCAGGAGTGTAAAGTTCTGTGTTTCTGAAGGAAACAGAGGAGGTGAGGAGCAGGTCTGGATGGACACATGAAGCCTTGTGAAGCTTTCAGACTTTTTCCTTTTCAGAAAAAGATTTGAAGCTTAAAAACCTGAAATATGCAACATTAGTGACATCTACAGGTCAGCTGCAGGTACAGCAGCCACACAATACTTTGAAATGATTCACATTTCTTCTTGTTTCCAGCTCCAAATCAGAAACTTCAGTTAGTTTTTATCTGCTGTCTGACGTCAAACATTTATTGTCCACATTTCTTTTTTCTGAAATTCTAATTTTCTAATAAAATATTTAAATATGTTGTCCTGTTATTGTATACAGTATATTATATTTATGTTAGAATAGAATAGAATAAAATGCCTTTATTGTCATTACACGCATGCATAACGAGATTAGAGCCACTCCCACAGCAGTGCAAATATACATTAAAACAAATGGAAAAGAATAAAAGAGTAAAAGAATAAAATGAGCTAAAATATGCGACATGTGTACATATGTGTGTGTGTGTGTGTGTGTGTGTGTGTGTGTGTGTGTGTG